TCCTCTTCTCTAAAGCAGCGCAGCATGGCCTCACCCCCTTTGCTGCCTTTTCTCAGGGGCGGGGTTTATCTGGGTTTTTTATGTCACGAACCCGGGAAGTAACTTCTTGTAGTCCCTACCAGCCGTTTTTGTAGGCATTTTTAGACAAGGTAAAAAGGGTGTTGTTTTACATAACCATTGATGGAATTTTAAAGGTGCGGTTTACTGTTTTTTTCTAGGCTTGATTGTGTTCATGGGGTGCAGTCTAACATGTGTTAAAGCTTCGTAAAAAATAAAAAAAAGCATTATTTTTCACATAATTTACCTTTATTCCACACCGCTCTGTCCCTTCTCTGAGAAACGCGCTGATCATTTCCTACTTTTATGAAGCCCCACCCTCAGAAATAGGCGATGGGCTCTGATTGGTTAGCTAGCCCAGTGTGTTGTGATTGGCTAAACCACCGCTAGTGTGCATCTAATCGTCCCGCCCCTCACCTCAGCGGTATGTGCTCCGGTTGTATTGTAAACAACGGCGTCTTTAATATCGCTTATCAGTTTGAGCCCGATTGAGTAGCAGAGGATATTATTGAAGAGGATCGTGCAGAACCTGTGCAAGCATGGCTTTTAATGGTAGGCCTATGTTTTTTGTTTGTTGTTGTCTCATACTTTTAGATATGCTGTTATTTGTAAATGCTACTGCATATGTTAACTTTTAATATACGGTTTTATCCTGATTAAAGCTTTAATACAGTACGGCAACTGCACGTGCGTCCATGTATAACGCTTCTCATAGCTATGTGAAAATAAGTGTATAATTACATTGCTGCAGCTGAGCTGAATGAGAGAGAGAGAGAGAGAGAGAGAGAGAGAGAGATGCAGAGCGTGTGCAGAGCAGGGGGACAGGAGAAACAGTATTAAGAACTGCTGCTTTAGAACATTGATTTTGAAACTTGTGAATCCATTTGAATCGTTAGAAGACAGAATCGCGATTCATGTATGAACAGATTTTTATGTGCACCTCTAGTTTTCTCTTCCTCTTCTCTAAAGCAGCGCAGCATGGCCTCACCCCCTTTGCTGCCTTTTCTCAGGGGCGGGGTTTATCTGGGTTTTTTATGTCACGAACCCGGGAAGTAACTTCTTGTAGTCCCTACCAGCCGTTTTTGTAGGCATTAAACTGACAGAATTTTAAAAGACAATATCTCCGTTTGCATTGAACTTTCAGCTTCGTAACTTTGCAGATATTGTTTATGCTCAAACAGCAACATTACACACTAACTAACGTTAAAAAATTGAAGTCACAATCAACTAGTGATGTTTGGTTCCTGAACGAATCGTTCTTTTGAGCCGGTTCTCAGGAAGTAACCGGTTGAGCCACTTCACAAATGGAACTGAATCGAACTTTAGTTCCGGGTTGATGACGCAGGACGCACAGCCGAAGTAGCACGTCCAACTCAAAAAGAACCGAATGAGCCGGTTCAACCAACTGTCGAAGTTTGCAGAGGATTACCGAAGATTCTAATGAGTGAGTTGATGATACTGTGAAAACTTGAGGCGCGTACTGGAAACATGTTTATTATGACTGTTATTAATTTACATTTTATTCAAACCTGCAAAAACCTTTCTGTCGAGTGATGTAAATACATTTTACAATAGTTTATTGTGCATGCATATTATATTTAAAGTTGTTTAAGCAAAGTTTTTAAGACTGGTTTATTCATTCTTTATACTGTAGACATGTAGAACATAACCGCGTTTGTGCATCAATGTGTGTAATGTGTGCTGTAGGTGTGAAACTTTTAGGAATTTTATCCAAGTTGTAGGCTAGGCAATATTGGTCAGTCAGTCGTATCTGAGGATCCACGAATGAAACTGTGACCACAAACACCATTAAATTATATGGCAAAAATCAGCAATATGCTTTCACACAAATAACTTTATTTTTGAATGTTTTCAATATGTGTTGACACAAATGACTTGTTTGAGTTTTTCATTGATACAACATGGCACTGAGTTGTTAGAAAATAAATGCGTAGAGACGTTATTGCTTGATGTCACACTCTTAAAAATAAAGGTGCTTCAAAAGGTTCCGATAGAAGATGCCATAGAAGAACCATTTTTGGTTCCACAAAGAACAATTCAGTCAAAGGTTCTTTAAAGAACCATCTCTTTCTTACCTTTTTATATTCTGAAGAACCTTCTTTCGCCACAAAGAACCTTTTGTGAAACAGAAAGGTTCTTCAGATGTTAAAGGTTCTTTATGGAACCATTTAGACAAAAAGGTTCTTCTATGGCATCGCGAAGCACCTTTATTTTTAAGAGTGCAGGAACCGATGAATCAGCTTTTTGAACCGGTTCAGTGAAAAAAGAACCGGTTTGCGGAAATGAGTCGGACTTTGCCTCACTACAATCAACCACCCCTTTAACCAAAGTATGTTACAGACATTTCATGAAGACCCTAAAGAATCCAACCCGATCTCATGGCAATTTGTACATAGCCTATTTGACAAGGTGGCTAATTTGTACAAATTCGTACAACCTCACTCATACAAATTGTACGTATTTTACGAGGTGGCAAATTTGCAGGATTTCGCATGAAGGACCACACCTAAACCCGCGCCTAAACTTAACCATCATAGAAATCGTACAAAATCGTACACATAAAAATGACATGTAAGTAGTGATGGTAAATCTTTCAACATTTCAGTAGGATGGAATAACTAAAAAGAGATTTGTGATTCCAGACCCAGAATTTAAGCAAATCTTACAGATCTAAGTCCGATGTGAAAGTATGTGTTGATCATGTTGTCTTCAGTTTTAGGTGCATGTCTCAAGAGATTCAGGGAAATGTCTCAGTGGTGAACAAACAAAAACTTGAATTTGACTTTTTAGGCAGTGAATTCACACTGAGTGCAAACCTTGTTGGCAAAAACAATTTCAGCTAACTACGTCCACTGTTGCCCACATGATTTTATAGAAATACTGTAGTATTGCAAGTACTGTAATATGCTATTTGCACTATTAACGCTGTGCGAATGGCATCTGTAACTATTTGCACTTAGAGCAAACAAGATATAATTTGTTGTCATTTATACTTAATACAAACAGTAGCTAGTAGTATGTAAACGGGAGCTTATGTCAACATGATTGATGACTTTGACCTAGAGCTGGACAATAATTCAATATCAATATGTATCGCGATATAATTCTTTTCAATAACGGTGATATGATTTTTAAACACATTTCCGATATTTCGATATACATTACCAGTTTCCCATACATTGATTTATTTGTGCCGTTTGACTTCGTTGAATAAACATGAGCACTGCACGTTTCAAAATCAAAACGTGGCGCGGGTGTTTTATATGAATGTATCTCTGAAGGGAACCGACTGTCTTCAGAAAAGTTACGATGACATTTTCATTTGATCTGATAAAGTAGCCTTCATGAGCGGAGCTGCTTTCATTACAGCCGTTACCGGAGAAACAGCTAGTTCTGCCGCTCTCACAGCGCCTCCTGCTGGCAGACAATCAGTTTTTAAGATTTTTTATTATTTCTTTTTTTTTAAGAATTCTCTTCTGCTCACCAAGTCTGCATTTATTTGATCCAAAGTACAGCAAAAACAGTAACATTTAGAAATATTTTCTATTTGAATATATTTTAAAATGTAATTTATTCCTGTGATCAAAGCTGAATTTTCAGCATCATTACTCCAGTCTTCAGTGTCACATGATCCTTCAGAAATCTTAATATGCTGATTTGCTGATTATCAATATACAGTTGAGCATTTTTTTCTTCAGGATTCTTTGATGAACAGAAAGAGCCAAAGATCAGCATTTATTTGAAATAAAAAGCTTTTGTAACATTATACACTATACCATTCAAAAGCTTGGAGTCAGTATGATTTCTTTCTTTCTTTTTTTGGAAAGAAATTATAGTGTTTTTTTTTCTAAAGTATTATATGGTTTTATATGAGGTGTCATAGACTTGGCAAATTCATTTTTCATAAGTTTGTATGCACAGACATCTGTTGTGGGCATTCTTGGCAGTTTTACAAGGCTTTTTAAAATAGTGTTCATATCAATATCGGAATTATATCGTATCGACCGAAATTAAGAAATATATCGTGATATAAATTTTGGCCATATCGTCCAGCCCTACTTTGACCTTTTGACCCATAATTATATCCATATGCGACCTTTGACATCATAATAATTTCCATATGCGAAAACCGGCGTGCGTGAAGTCCGGCCCTCAACCTTTGATCTCCGGGGATGACAAATGATGTTTTTGTAAGCGACGGAGGATGACAGGTGATAAATTAAGTCCTAAAGGAATGTTTTGAAGATATTATGGAGCATTCCCATATCTGGACTCGTCTGTGGACTCACATGTGTGGAAGTGTCCGTGGTATCAGGTTGCATTCCAAGGCATGCTCACGCTCTCTCTCACTCTCTCTGGGAGCTGTGAGAAAAACAAGGATGTGTTGATGAACAATAAACAGAATAAATGAACAATTCTAACAGATCGTGAGATCGTATCACAATATGTGTGTGTGTACTCTTACAATATAATACTGAATCAAAAGTTTCTCAGCATATGAATGAACTGAAAAATAAATCAATAAAAAATATAAATTACCTTACATTTTTCAGGGAGAGAAAGTCTTCCTCGTGCAAGCATCGCGATTCTTAAAATGAAATGTTTCCCAAAATTGTGCTTGGTCTAAAATGAAAGAAGAAATCTTTCTTTGAGATTGCTCTCTCGCCATCGATCTTCCCCCTTCGCCCTGCGTGAGTGTCGAGCCCCCAACGATCCTGTCATTTCGCCACGCTGCGAGTTCTGAAAGGGGAGGGGTGCGTCGCTGAAAAACTGATCTGCTTTGAAAAACAAAAAAAGTCACAGTTCGATTTTTTATCTGTTTAAACAGATGTTCGAACAAACCATTATATTATGTTTTGTTTAAATAACGGTAGTAGCCTACTAGGTGTTTTTTCACATGTTTCAGCTCTAGCAGTGACGATGAAAAAATATTGGCTTCTGTCACGGTTGTAATGAGGGCATTCCTAAGTTCTCTGTCTCTCTCTCTCTCTCTCACACACACACACACACCCGTTTGCTTAGCTGTCTAAATGGGGACATTACACATACCCCATGTTGTTGTTTTTTATCTACAGATAATTATACATTTTACAACCTCTACCTCACTACCCCATCGCAGAAAACGTTATCTTACTTGGCCACTGTAGTTTAGGATAAACAAGTACACCAACACAACATTCAATCGTCCGAATATTATTATTATCTTCTTTTAAATGAAAATATATGAATTAGGCGATCGCATATGATATAAAGCAAAGCAAAACATTTACATTCGTTTTAGTCATCGCTAAAAATTTCTAAACGTCGTACATTTTACCATGATCAGGAAAAATATATATATTTTAACAGGTCAAACGATAAGGACTATTGGAGGCACGGACATGACCGGTCATGTTTATGGAGACTTTACATAGACAATTCAATTGAATTTAATTCAATTCACATTCATTTCTTATAACTTTTTTCACAAAACATATTGTTGCAATGCAGTTTCACAGAAAATGAAAGATTCTACATTATATTTAGAACCCTTTATATTCATATTTACTTTATATTAATGCTTTTTATACACTACATCCCCTTGAAAAAGGTTATAGACACAGTCTTTTATACAGGAAATATGTTTGCTAATACTGAATACTGATAATAATAATACTGATACGGCTAATAGGCCTACTGAAATCCTCTCTTCTAAACTATTGTGAAAGTTTTAATGCTGATTTTGATGGGCTGCCCCACTATACCTTTGTCATTGTGGTCAAACATGCCACGAGTGTTTGCAGGAAAACATGAACAAAAATACAGTATACGATAATTAAAAAAAAGGAAAGTCCTTCTACAAGAGAGTGTTTAAACTGAGATTGCGATGTACTTTAGAGCTGCTTCTGGTCTGTCTACAAAGCGGGCACACACACACACACACACACACACACACACACACACACACACACACAGCGGGGATTTTTTACTTTTGTGTGT